CTAACTGCTCACGAAAAATATAAGTCCCTAATTAACCTTCTGACACAACACCATTCAAAAGGGCCCAAGATTTTACCGCCTTCTAAAACCATTCAAGAAGCATGCCGAGATCACTGTTATCTTTTGCCGCTACTTAGAGCACCTTGATACGTCACTTCAGTGTGCAGTTAAATAGTCAAGAGATTTTTATTAGTACAAACTCTTTCATCTACACCGTAAAAGCAATTTTAAGCCTTAAACTGATGAATAGACAATAAAAACAGATCGTTTCCTTAGTGAAAGCATTATACTTGCAGTAGTATATTCTTGTTGCATACCGTTTTTCTTCCGCTCGCAAAACATTCAGTTATGCAGCTAAAATCAGTTTCTTTCAATTTTACCGTTTGAACTTTGCAGTGGGGTGAACTTTTTGTCTAAAATCCAAAGTTATCTTTGCACAATAAAACTGCCAATTTTTTCAAAAATGGTATAGTATGTAAATTCTGTGAAATAAATATCTATCTACTAGTTCCTGATCCCTAAATTTACTTACTGTTACTGTGTTCAAACCATATTTTTTTCAAATTAGTGCAGGATAGATTTAGCTTGCCTTTGAGTTCAAAGATAACTCAATGGTGAAAAACTTCGTCGCTATAAATAATATTGTACCTCATTAAAACACTCAAAACATTGTCATAAGGGCCAGAACAGAATCACGCCTTATCTAAATTTTATTGATCTCTTTATGAGCTTCAGAAGTATACTTTCGAGTCGAGCGAAAGCTCATTTAAATCCTGATTGTACTAGACTCCTAAAAACCGTTGCAAACGGTAACTTTCAACGCTGTCTTGTAATCGGCTGTTGATCACCAAGCAGGCCTTATTTCCAAGTAACTGCTTCGTTTAGGCTCATACAAAACCCTGAGTCTATATTTATGAGAAATATAATTTACATCTGGTGAAGAAGATAAAAAAATGCATTTTTAGACTGCGAAATTTAAGGTGAGAGTTACGTTCCAGAATACTGGCTTACTCAAGTAACACTAAGATGAAGTAACAGCAACTGTGCAACTAGCAGCTCAACAGCGGTCGAGCAAACAGTTTTTAACAATTTTTACTCTCCCAGTCTAGTTGCTTGCAAAAGACAGCCTTGCTGCTTATTATCTTTCAGCAACTTCACAGTGTGAATTCAGAGGTTAGCGCAATGATCCTCACTATTTACTTGTACAAGTTTTGTACTACTTCAACAGTGTTTCCACTTCATCTTCTTAGTGGATTGCTTTTGTTGTACAGGATTAATCAACAGTCTATTAATCAAGGGTTAAAAAGCATTTTTATTATCTTGGCTTCATTTGTTTTTAGTTTCGACAACAAAATATCAAATATTGACTGTTAGACGACTATCGCCTTCCGTTTATTCTACATAATTCAGTCATTCTTCCAGCTGCTGGGAAAACGCTTCCTATGTAAACTTTACCTCTTTGAATTAAATCATGACTGGTAATCTGCAGAGGACAGCCATCTACTTCTACCTAAAAAAAAATCTTATCAGTTGTTCAAGATGTTTATTTCTGCCTTCAATCTTTTGCTATTCTCCATTGATCAAAGAAAAAAATAATGACTATGTGCAGTGCTTTGTTCTGAGGCAAAAAATTAGTTAGACGTTTATAGGCAGAATCCATTTTAAAAAAAAATGAAAAAAAATTAGTTATGCTTTTTCCAAGCTAATCTAATTACTTAACAACCTAGAAACTTGTTGAACTCAGTTTTCTGACATAACTTACTTGGCACGTGTGACGTCCACGACGTGACAGGAAGCACAGAGTGTACAGTGCCATGTCAAACTCAGGACTGGTCCCAATCAGAAAACTTCCAGTACGTTTTATTTCCTTTTTCCAAGAGTATTTCAACGCAGCCATTACGTTCTAAACAGGGATTAAGATTTGCTAATCAAAATTTTGATTACAAAGAAATCTAAATATTATGGATTTTTAACATCAGGTAGCTGACGAACTCCATTTCGTTTTACTATGAATAAAACTTAATCAGATAGAAGACATTTTTCATGACATGAATAAATTTCAGTAAATCAATAAACAAAGATTTTTGTGCAAATACAGTAAAGTATACATATCTCTTGATCAGGTACCCTTTGTAGTCGAGCATTTCACTGCCATCTTGTTCCAACAAGTAAAAACGAACCCAGTTGTGCAGTCCAGATACTTCATTATTTTTTACCTAAAATGATTTTTTTTACTTAAAATGATATGGACAACGTCTGTAACCTGCAAACTGGAAGATATACATGATACCAATACAATATTATAAAAGAAAAAAACATTCAAAATAAACCCATTTAGTGCAAATATTTGCAAAATTACCTCTCCAATGAAAACATGTTCAAAACCTGAACTATCAGGAACACCCCTATACCGAGAATATTTATAGAACCATAACTGCAAAATCCACTGACGGAAAACTTTTTCACTGGTAGCATAAGGGTGGCCTTAACAGTTGAAAAGTAGCAAATTTTGATATTTCCTTCTTCAATTTACAACCTTTCTTTTATGATAAACAATTCGGTAACTTTCAAATATTAGAATAATCTGTAATTTATATTACTACTGTACAAGTATCTGCTACAGCACTATTACTGATGAGCTCTTTAATGTGCTTTTATAATTTAAGATCAAAAAATAGAACTGATAACGTCAATGATTGATTTAAAAGTAACCTTTCCGATGCAAAAAGCTATACAGTGTTTCCCATACTTTTGTAGACATAATTGTATCTAAGAACGCATCTACTTCTGCCTTTTCCTATAATACCAAAAGCTACTAGCGAATTTTTTATAACAAAAAATTTATAAAAACATTTAACTAGCAGGTGAAAAAGTTGCACTTTCATTGTTTCATCTTTATCTTTTCATTTAGAAATACCTGAAGAGTATCTTCTTCAGAGGTTCCAGTTTCTCGCTCAAAGTTATCATTTAGTGCTATTAGTTTCTGGAAAGTTGGTTTTTCTAGAAGTTGAGGATCTACGTATTTGAAAAATCTGCAAGTTATCTCTTCTATTTCTATCAGAAATGACTGAGATTTGTCTGAGCATGACAAAAAACCTATTGAATAATGGAACTACTTAGAACAGCTTTAAACACTCATAATAGAAGACAAAAAACCAGGTTTTTCTTCAATAAATAAATTAACAATACTTATTTTTAGCATTATCGCCTAAACTTGTGGTTGAAATATAACCCTGATAATCTACAACAACTTGTTTCCGTCCCGCTTTATTGAAGTCTTCGTCACGAAGCTGATTCACCAGACTCGTTAATTCGCTATTCGACACTTCAAAATCTGTGAGAAACCAAATCAAAAACCAATTTCAAAAGCAATTTTTAAAAAACTTAAATTCCAAAAATATATAAAAGTTTGACAAATGCTCATTTCTAGTTGCAAATCGTAGTTTTGGTTTTGCTGATTTTAGCTAACCGGTAAGACCTGTGACCCAAACAACAAGATAAGAGACGTACCAGGCACTCGTTCGGCACATAAGCATAAAGTAGCGATGCTTACGAGAAATAAGCAACTACGCTCCCAGTTCATTGGCGTTCCTGGAAAAACAATCTCTATGTTGCACTTTCCTCTACGGAAGGTTTTAATACCGCCGTCTGAAGCACATCAAGTGTACAGTATGTGTTGAATAATTCAGTTCAAGCTTCTAAAGTTAATAAAATTGCTGTAAGTACAGTTGTTCTAAGCTCACGAAGTCTAACTTTGCCGCTTTGTCGCTTTGCCGACCAAAAAAGTGTGAGCGCTTAACGAAGCGTAATCTCTTTTCTTCTAAAATAACTCTCAGCAAAAAAACTTTCAATTGTACAAATACCATACTGGTAGCAGTAGTACTTAGTGCTCGTCAGTAAACAGGCGTGTTACGCTAATACAAAGATACCACTGGTGTCCAACTACAAAATTTGAAAAGTCGTTGTAAGCTAGCAAAACTTAATTTTATCAACCATATGTGATGGTCAAGTATTCATAGATGTTTGTTATTTATTATTGTTTGAGTAACGCAGAAGCGTAGCAGTAAGTTTCTTACATAGCGTTAGTACTAACACCTTGAGATCTGGAGTCTCAGTTCCCACAGTTATTAAGTCTTCGAGCAATTAATGCACAAACGTTGTTTAACGTTTCAAACAGTGACCGTAACTAGGTAAAAGGTTTCAAACACGGTATGAGCAACACAGATGTCAGGAAACTTATAGTCTGCTTAGCGATGTATAAACTATTTTATTTTAATGGTCTTGAAACTCATTCAGCTTTTACGCATCTATCTGCTTAAACTTTTTACCTGAAATTGTTAAATCGCCCTTATCCATTTTAAATACCACTTCTTAATCAGCTTATCCTCAACCTGCTTTGCAGTATTCGTCCTCGGCCCAAAAAGGCTTGTCTCTGAGGACTACTCGTCAGGTCGCCATCCTTTACTTTGAGATTAAATTCATAGAAAAAATGACTCTTAGGAGCTCAATAACTGTCAAGTTTCAAACCAGCCGAAACTTAAGCGTTTTAAGGTCATTTTACAGACCTTTTATCAATATCTCCAACAGGTAAAAGAAGAGTTCCAATAAAATTTTAGCGATGGTTATTCTGAGAAACAAAACAATGAGGCAAAAGCGAGCATATAAATGAGTAGCAAAAGACAACAGAAATGTAGAATGTGCTGGTTAAAAAATGGTTTGTCACTTGGCTGCTTTTTGTTTCCGCATGTAAAATGGGAATCCTTTAATTGTGGTGCTGTAAAATGGGTAATTTTCCAACCTATTTGAAACGTATTCTACTTCTTCCATGGCCTTCCTACAGAAAAGGTACGAGTAACAGCATAAAAGTTTGTTTATCACGGTCAGAATTTCTTTTTTAAACAGCGTTTACTAATCGTAATATTTTTGCTCTCCCCACTCTACAAAGTAAACAATCACCAGTCTCAAAGAAAAATTGCGTTCAAACGACACAGAGCAGTTCATAAAATTTTAGTAGGTCCTTGTATTTTTCTGAAAGAAAGAAATCTGCCCAAATTTACTTAAATAGTTCTAAAAATACAAAAAATATCAAAATTTCATAGCCGAATACTTCACTTTATGCTGATGCCACTGCTGTTGGTTGGCTTTCAAAAATAGCACTAAGAAAAAGGTATACGTTCTAGAGATCAGTACATTCAACGTCTACTGCTTTCTTCACTCAACTTTTTGATACAGTGTCTTCAAATTTTGTTTGATTCAGAAGAATATTGAGCTGTCACTCTACAGGACATCACGTCATTTGTCAAACAGCATCAGAGAATCACTTTTCTGAGTTGTAGAACAAAAAAAAGCGATTTAAAAAGAAAAAAGGTAACAAAAAAAGATCAGAATTTATAGTTTGTGCAGTAAAATTTTGCATCAAAAAAACTCCAAGTATAAAACTTTGTAGAAGAAATTTTTTATATACAAACCGCATTTGCAAAAGAACAAACACTACTACTTTTGCATCAGCCTAATACTATTTGTATTAGAAAATAATAGGTTTAGTTACCATATCATTCAGCAGTCATTAATAATTCTTACATCACTTTAATACCTATATTATTACTGTTTACATGGACACATATGAAAAGCAGATGAGTGTTTAGTGAACAACTAAATTTGTCAATGAAATTGATAAAATGTAAACTGGATACATTAATGGCTAAATTATATGACATTTCAAGTCTTTGACTTCTTAACGCTAACGTTAACTAAAAGCGCAACCAAAATATAAAAGAAAAAGACAAAAAAAGAGTTTTTTTTTCTTGTTCAACTCCATAAATATTTGGTTTTGCGTTAAAATTTAACTGAAAAATTGCTTGTCGAACATGTGTAGTAATTTTCGAATCTATTCCTCGATGTCGCAAACCAGTTTTTTCTTAGGCCTCAAACATTCACACAGATTTTTGTCTTATTCAAAACGAAAAAAAAGGTCGATCAATATTATTCTAAATTTCTGTTACCAAAATTAGTGAACCATATTTTTTCCCAATGACTAATGTTCTGGTAGTTTTGTTTCTAACTTTTTTTTGATAGAAGCAGTTCCATTTAAAATATAAAGCAGTTTATTTTCAGTAGAAAATTGACAACACTAATGTGGAAACATGTGAAAAATTTTTATGCCTCAAAACAGTGACAGAGTACTGATATTTAGTGAAAAAGAGTTACTAATAGTACCGTAGAGCCAAAAGAAGAAATTTTTAATTAACACTAAAGAAAGAATAAAGAAACTGTGGTTTTCCAAAGCAATAACCACATTGAAGACAAACTGTTTGCCCTTTAACATTTATACCAAAAGTATACAGC